AAACGGTAGGTATACTTTGTCTTCTAAGCAAAGTCAGTCAAATTACAGATTATTTTGAGATTATTTTTTTTAGTGAAATATTGATGTTCGTTTAAAACGAAAAATAGCTTTTGTAGCAATTTTTTATTGGTGAAACGTTACAATCTCAAAAAGTACTCTAAAGTGTATAAATAAGTTACCCGGGCAATTGATTTACATCAGCCAATCAGACGAAAGTCTGACCATGAATACATACCCTCTACTCTTAAACCATATCAAATTATACTATAAAGATAACCAGAAATATTTTTGTTTAAAACTATTTTATTATATTAGATTTAAATAAACTTTTATTTTAATTTGAATAGATACAAGCTCTTTAGCAAAGAAATTCTGGAAGTAATATTTAAATTTGGTCAGTTCTTGTAGTGTTTGGGTTTGTCAACCGTAAATTAATAGTTCAAGTTTTAATTTATAACTTATATGATAAATTCTTTAATAGTTTGGGTTGATTAGTAATAAACATCATATTTACCTATTTTATGCATATCTATCTATTTTCTATATATAAATAATAAATTCTTTCACATGTATTTATTAGTTTGTAATCTTCTTTATATGAAGTTTCTTTCGTTTTCTAATACTGTGGTATATATTAATTAAAAATTTTGTATTTGATTGGTTAATTATCTCAGGAAATCACGGGTAGATCTACAAAAATTAACCAATCATAAGAATGTCTTCCTATGATATATGTGGATACTGCATATGATTTCTGACATTAATCCGACATAACTGATAGCATTTTTTGAGTAGATTTTGAGAGGCGATATTTTTTTTAAAGTTGATTTTTTTTTCTTATGGGTAGATTGTTAATTCGTTTAATAAATTTCAAGAATAAATATAATTTTTCTGTAAATTTTTATATAAGCAACCCTTAGGTGCGTCATAATACCCCACTTACCCTTATCGAATTAACTTATGTTAAATTAAGAGTTGTTTATAATCAGCTTATATAACATTAATCTATTTTTATTTATTTATTATTACAGATTAAAAAATATTTTTTTATATTTCATGTTATTTTAGAATTTCAGAATTGTTTCGTGAAAATTTAATGCTTACGTCACCATCGCAGGTTATACGTACGTATACGTAATCGAATGAATTATTTTTGCATTGTTCAAAAAAGGAAATTTTTTCAATGAACTAAGTAAATGGAAACCATTTAAGTCCGAAAGGACACGGATCAGTCCGACAAAACGACTATTTTCGGAGCATAATGCTGTAATGATTGTTTCGTAATTCGTGCACACAAAAAACATCACTAGGACTCTACTGGTAATGTCCTTCGGACAATTAGTTTACACTTTCTACGTAGTAATAAACCATATATATATTATATATATATATATACAGTATATTAATAAATAATATATCGGTTTATATATGGGTAGGTACGTATGTACATACGCCCGTACAATACATAAAATTTCTAACAGGAAAATGTCAAAATTTAAGGATAGAAGAATTCTGCAGCCTGTCAATAATTCACATATGCGTGCATTTACTAATAAAGCCATATTAAAACTTGAACAGTGCTTATTTAGTACTCATATTCCTTATATCAAAACACTTAGTGGTGGTCACGCGACGTTACTCCGTTATTTCATTAAAAAAGGATAAGTTAAACTTGAAAGAACACAATCAAATTGATTAAATATATACTATATAATAAATATACAACCAGAGAAAAGAATTTTAAAAGACTTCAATATAATA